AGAGAGAGAGAGGAGAGAGGAGAGAGAGAGAGAGAGAGAGAGAGAGAGGAGAGAGAGAGAGAGAGAGAGAGAGAGAGAGAGAGAGAGAGAGAGAGAGATGAGAGAGAGAGAGAGAGAGAGAGAGAGAGAGAGAGAGAGAGAGAGAGAGAAAAAAAAAAAAAAAAAAAAAAAAAAGAACAAGAAAAAAAGAGGGGAGGCGGGGCGCGGGCGCGACAGGGCGCGGAAACGGCGGGGCGGGAACGGGGGGGCGGGGGCGAAGGCTGGGGCGAGGCGGGGGCCGGGTCGATGGCGCAGGCAATGGCGGGGGCGGGAGGGCGGGAGCGAGGGGCGGAGGCGAGGGAGAGGGCGGGGGCGCGGGGCGGCGGCGAGGCCGCGGGCGCGGGCGGGGGCGGGAGGAGGCGGGGGCGGGCGGGCGGGCGGGGGCGACGTGGGCGTGGCGGGGGCGGGCGAGGGCGCAGGCAGAGCAGCAGTGGCAGGTGCGCGGGCGAGAGCGGGAGCGGGGGCTGGGGCGGGGGCGGGAACGGCGGCGGCGGCGAGGGCGGGAAGGGCGGGGGAGCGGGGGCGACGCACTGGGCATCATAACCGCCAGCAGTGGACGCGGGCTCGGACGGAGAGCAGGAGACAGCACCGCCGCCCCCGAATTGCGAGGCCTGTGGCCAGCAGATGCCCTGGAGTACCTGCCGCTACACGGGACAGGACTGGATCTGCACCCAGGGGGCGTTCAATTGCAAGGGGCGGGAGGCCAACTCAGGGACGCTGAGGTGGTACTGCAAGGGCTGCGATATTTCGGTGTGCAACTACTGCAAGCTCTCCGCGTACGAGGCGATGGCCAGGGCCCAGCCAGCTGACTTCAGCCAGGAAGGCGCGGAGGAGCACGAGGAGGAGAGCAAGGAGCCGCTGCGCGCGAAGCAGGAGGCCAGCAAGGACGAGCAGCAGGCGGATGACCTGGACCGCCCACCGTGCACCTGGTCCCCGCGCAAGCGCGACGACCGCGCGGCGCGGCCCCTGGAGGAGGCGCAGCCGTTCCATCCCCCGCCAGCGGCCGACCCCCAAGGGCCGCAAGAGGAAGCCCGACGGGTCCTTCTTCGCTCCGCGCGGTGGCAAGCGCTCGCAGGAGAGCCGCAGGGCGGTCGCCAAGAGCAGCAAGGGGAGCGACGGCAAGGGCAATCCGTGGAGCGGCAAGGCGAAGGAGGGCAAGAGTTCCCGGCACACGCGAGGGCGGGGCCCAGCGGACGGTCGGCGCTGAGCCGTCAGCAACCTCGGCGCGGCGAGGGGGTAGGCCACCAAGAGCGCTGGGGTAGTGTTGGGCCAGGTCCCCAGGGCCCCGAGGCTCGGGCCGCGTGGAGCGCGGCATCGCAATTCTTTTGGGGGAGACGCGCAGCGATGGCCCGCGCCAGGACGCACGCTCATGGCGCCTTCGGCGCCACTTCTGCGTGGGCCGCGCTGCGAACCCGCACCCCCTCTCCCCCCCCCCCCGTCTCGTCTCGCGCGCAATGGCCTGCTTTGGTTGGGCGACGGCCACCGCTCGCGTCCGCGGGCGCGGTGGGCCGGAGGCGGGGCGCGCGGGCCCCGCGCCGCTGGGCCCGCCCCTGTCGGGCGCCGGACGCGCCCGCCCCTGTCGGGCGCTGGGCGCGGGCCCAGTCCGGGGCCGCGAGCCGAGAGACGGCTGGCGTCGCACGCTGGGCTTGGAGCCTGTCGGCGCACGTAGCGCCCGCGCCCCGGGCGGCTTCGCACTCGCACTGCTTGGGCCGCCCGCGTAGTTTTCCCCAGGGTCTGCTTCTCCCTCTCCTTCCTCCTCTTGGGTGCCCTGCGCCCCGTTCGCGCTCAGCGCGCGTCGGCGATCCCGCCGAAGCGGCCCGGCGTTCGCCCCGGGCGGCCTCGAGGTCGCAGGCAAGTGGCCCTCTGTGCTGCGGTGTTGGCGTTGTTTTGGACGATGGCCGATGGGCCGGCGAACGCCTCGAAAGGCGCGCAGACGCGACCGCCGCGCGCCGTGCTGCGCGAGCCCTAGCGGTCTGACGCCAGGAGAACGCGCGCGTGGCCACTTTGCCAAGAGCGGCATCCTTGTCCTTCCCCCGCCCCGGCCTTCCTTCTCCCCCTCTTCCTCCTTTCTCTTATTGTGTTTAGTGCGCGCGCGTCTGCGCGTAATTTGTCTAGTCTGCCCGTTGAGATTGCAGGTCATGCGCGGCGGGAGCGGGGACTTTTGGGTTGCCCACGTTGGTCTCTGCAGCCGCTCGGGCTCGAGACCAAGGGGCAGCTTCGCTCCCTTTGGGCTCTTTCGCCGCTTGGCCGATGGGCCGGCGAGCGCGCCGAAAGGCGCGCAGCCGCGACCGCCGCGCGCCGTGCTGCGCGAGCCCCAGCGGGCCCGTGCCGGGAGAACGTGCGCGTGGCCGCCTTACCAAAAGCAGCATCCTTGTCCTTCTCCCGCCTTGGTCTTCCTCCTCCTCTTCCTCCTTCTCTTGTTGTGTGTAGTGCGCACGCGTCTGCGCGTAACCTTGTTGCACCTTGCGAAGCTTTGGCGCCCCCCTGACAAGGCCTGCTAAGCTGCGCCAAGTCCTGTACACCCTTGCCAAGCTCTGCTGAGCCCTGCTACGCCCTGGTAAGCCTTGGCCAACCCTGCTAAGCCCTGGCAAGCTCCGCTAAGCCTTGCTAAACTCTGCTGAGCATTGCTAAGCTTGGGCAAACATGGATAAACCCCCAAGCATGGATAGACCTTGCCACGCTCGGTTCAACCCTGGTAAGCTCTGTTAGGGCCTGCTAAGTCTTGGTAGGCTTTGCTGGGCCCTGCGAAGGCCTGGTACGATTTGTTCACCATAGTAAACCTTGCTTGGCCTTGCTCAACTTTGGCAGGTTTTGCTCTGCCCTGCTAACTCTTACGACGCCTGAAGCCCTGCCGAGCATCGCTACACCCTGCTGGGCCCTGCTAAGATGTGGTAAGCTTTGTCAAGCATTGGTAAGCCCTACGAAGCCTTGGTAAGCCCCGCTAAATCCTATTGTACCCTGCTTGGCATCTCTAGGCCCTGACAAGCTCTGCCAAGCCCTGTCGAGTTATGGCACGCCCTGCTAGGCACTGCCAAACTCTGGTAAGTTCTTGTAAGTTTTGCTATGTTCCTGGTATGTTCTGCTAAGCACTGCTAAGCTTTGTAAGTCTTGCTAAGCCCAGCTGGGCTTGGCACGCCTTGCTAAACCTCTGAGGCTTGCTCAGCCTTGGCACGCTTTGCTAAGTCCTGCTGATCCTTGCGAGGCCCCAAGCCGAGTTGGGCTTTGCTGAGCCCTTCTAAGCCATAGTGAGACCTGATACGTATTGCTAAGCCTTGGTAAGCCCGCTGAGGCTGTTTTAAAACGTGCTAAGCCCCAGTGGGCCTGCTAAGCATTGTTCAGCCCTGGCATGCTCTTCGAAGCCATGCTAAGTCATGGTACGCCCGGCTAAGCACTGCCATGCTCGGTAAGCTGTGCTGAGTCTTGGTGCGCTCTGCTAGGCCCTGCTGAGCTTGGTAAGCCTTGCCAAGCTCAGGTCAGCTTGGTAAGCCGCGCTAAGCTCAGGTAAGCTGTTCTAAGCCCTGGTAAACCGTGCTGAGCCTAACCTAGCCCTGGTAAGCCGTGCTAAGCGAATGTTGCTCAGCCTAGCTGAGCATTGGCCGACCCTGCAGAGCCATGAAAAATTGCACTGGGCATTGATTATCTGGCGATCTCTGCTAAGCACGGCTAAGCCTTGGTAAGCCCAGCTCAGCATTGCTCAGCCTTGGTAAGTTGTACTCAGCCATGGTCAGCGTTGGTAAGACTCGGTAAGACCTGGTAAGCCCGTGGTAAGCGTTGCTGATCCTTGGTAGCCCTTGCTAAACATGGGTGCACAATGGTAAGCCAGCCCTGCATCATAACAAGGAATCCTGAGCAGGGAGGAGGAGGAGGAGGAGGAGGAGGAGGAGCAGCAGGAGGAGCAGCAGGAGGAGGAGGAGGAGGGGGATTGTGAGGAGGGGGGGCGTGGGAGGGGGGGGGGATTAGCAGAAGGAGCAGGGGAGGAGGAGGAGGAGGAGGAGGAGGAGGAGGAGGAGGAGTACGAGGAGGAGGAGGAGGAGTACGAGGAGGAGGAGGAGAAGGAGAAGGAGAAGGAGGAGTTTGTGTTGATTGGCTCGCCCCCCCAATAAACAAAACAGACAACAAAAAACACCAAACGGTGATCCCCCACCCAGATGTTTCTTGTTGGGGGGGGCGGGCGGGAGAAGGAGGAGGAGGAGGAGGAGGAGGAAAAGGAAAAGGAGGAGGAGGAGGAGGACGGGGAGGAGGGGCGTGCGGAAAATTGAAGGAAAACAGGAACAGGAGGAGGACGACAAGGAGGCGTTTGTTTTGATGCTCCTCGCGTCCCACCCTACAAAAAGACCCCACACAGATGTTTGATTTTTTGGGGTGGGGGGGAAACAAAAAACGGATGGAAAAGGAGGAGGAGGAGGAGAAGGAAGAGAAGAGGAGGAGGAGGAGGAGGTGGAGGAGGAGGAGGACGACGACGACGACGACGAGGAGGAGGTGGAGGAGGAGGAGGAGAGGAGGAGGAGGAGGAGGAGGCGGAGGAGGAGGAGGAGGAGGAGGAGGAGGAGGAGGACGACGAGGAGGAGGAAGACGAGGGAGAGTAGGACGCCACAGAGCACGCGCAGTAATCAACGACGCACGCGCCAACTCAGCGTGAAAACCTCGCGCGCGTGCGCCCTCGACTCCGAGGTACTCCACAATCCCCTGTCCTCGAGAAAGATGAGGAGGCGGAGGAGGAGGCGGAGGAGGCGGAGGAGGAGGAGGAGGAGGAGGAGGAGGAGGGGGAGGAGAGAGAATAATACCTTCGTTGGGAAGGGCATAGAGGGGCGGAGGAGGGGGAGGAGGAGGAGGAGGCGGAGGCGGAGGCGGAGGAGGAGGAGGAGGCGGCGGAGGCGGAGGAAGCGGAGGCGGAGGCGGAGGCGGAGGCGGAGGCGGAGGAGGAGAGTCTCCGCCAGGACGCTTCTGGCCGCTTCAAGCCCATGAAGGTGCGCCGCAGGGTGGCATGCCCAACGAAGCTGGCGCTGCCCACAGGGGATTACCGGCTCTACGGCGTGGTCAGCCACGTGGCGGGGCCCTCCGGGGGGGGATCGGTCGAAGAGCCTAACAAGAAACACGGCAAGAGTTCCGCGTGGATTTCTTGGATTTGCGTTGGGCCCCGCGCCGCCATTGGCGCGCTCCGCGCGCCAGGGAGGGAGTCTGGCGCGGATCCAAGAAATCCGCGCGGACCTCCAAAAGTGTATGCTTATGCCGCTTTTGGTTCCTCTGGTAGTGGCCCCTTCCTTCCCCATCTCGCGGCAAAGGCCGTGGGAAGTGGCCCGCTCGTGATCCCAGGGAGCGAGCGGGCTCGGGGACTGAGTTGGAGGCGGCTTCGCGGGGAGGGAAGTGCTTCAGAGTCGTTCCCTCATGAGCGATACCCGCCACCCAGGCTGCGCGCCACGGGGGGCCGCCGCTCGGGGCAGCTCGGCTGATGGCTGAGAGGCCATAGGCCGCATTCATATCCAGCTGATCTTGAGCATGACAGCTGAGGAAATTTCGACGCTCAGAGGCAGTCCAGTTGCGAGACGACGCAGACAGTCCTCCCAGAACAATATTCTGTCGTCGTCCTCCTCCTCCTCGTCTTTCTGCTGTTCCTTCTCTCTTTCCCTCGCGTTTCATTGCTTCTCCCTATCCTCTTCCTGCTTTTACTGTTCTTTATCCTCCTATTCTGCTCCTCCTCCTCCTCCTCCTCCTGGAGCCGAAGGCGGTCCAAACGCTTCTCTTCATCCTCCTCTTCCTCCTCCTTCTCATCCTCCTCCTCCTCATTCTCCATTTCCATCCCTCTTCCTCCCTTATGAACAACTCTTCCCTGTCGCACCACCTGGCGTGTCGTTCAGGCGGGCCGAGCGTTCTGCGTGATACGTTTCCACCGCTTTTGACATCGAAGCTTGAAAGCAACGGTTATGCGGATGAAGGGCGAGGCGTTTTCAAAACGGGGTTCTTGCTTTGGCGCCGCACATTCACTTGCCTTAGAAGCTTAGCAGTTACACGGATGGAGGGCGGGTAGTTTTCAAATGGGTCTCCTCGACTTGGTACCCTACACGCTCGTCTTCAAACATCCGACAGTTACACGGGCGGAGGGCGAATTGAGAAGAAAGGGGGCTCTCGCCTGGGATTTCAGACATCTGACCACCAGTTAGAAATTGCGCAACGTTTTCACGGGTGAAGGGCGGTTCCTTTTCAAAATGGGGATTTCGATTGGTATTTCGGTCATTGACAGTACAAGATAAGATATGGCCGACATGCTCTACTTGTGCAGCAGCTACACGGATGGAGGGCGTTTCTTTTTCAAGGCGGGGTTGTCGTTGTGCATCGAAGGATTGCAAAAAAAAACCGAAGGTGTTTTTTTTGCAATCCTTCGAAGGTGTTTGTTTTTTGTTTTGCAATCGAGCGTTGCGACTCCACCGTGTTGCATCCCTTATGGCTCGTAGTATGAAAGGCAAATTCTTTCGACATAGAGCTCCTGCCTGAATGGCGGGCCTGTGGCGTTCTGTCTTTCACAGGGGGGCGCCTCGAGACGTTGAAAAGAATGCTAGCAGGGACGCATCGCTCACGCATTTTGAATCAACCCTGGTTCTCCTTTTCGTCCCTCTCCTCTTACTCATCCCTACTCCTTGGCTCTCCTCCTTCTCCTCCTCCAAGTATACCTCCTCCTCACCTCCCTGCACCCTGGCAGGCCAGTGATGAAGGAGAGAACCAGGGGAGAGGAGGAAGCGGGCAGGAGGAAATATGAAGAGAAGGAGAGGAGCGACAAAAGCTATGCTCGAAATGCAGATGCAGACATCAAAGGGTGTCTGGGGCTTGCGCTGGACAAGAAAGCGGTAGCCAGGAGACGCCAACTATGCGCTTGCACCAATCCTGGCCAAGCAGATTTTGGGCTCGGGCCCAGCTGTGGTGAACATGCCTTCCTGGCCAAGACACGGGGGCGTGTGCACCATTCACCGTTCCGGCCAAGGATGCGCCTGGCCAGGCTATGTTTGCTCATTGTGGGCGCACTCCTATGAAGAGAGGGCGAGGCAGTGCACGGCGCGAGAGTGCTTGCGGGGCGAGAAGTTCGATGGAAGACGGCGAGCGGTGTCTGATTGTTACGCTTGCGACGCGTGCGATCTGGCCCTCCGCTTCTGTTCTGCGCGCGCTGGATGTTACGGTCGGGATCGTTTGCTGAGGGCGCCGCAGCGGTCCACAGGCGTCAACGTCCCGAGCCTTTCCCAGCCTCCCGCCCTCGGAGCGGAGCGACACGCTATCAACTCGCAGTGTATAGCGACACGCTATCAGGCCGCCGCGGCGACACGCTAAGCAAAGCTCCTGACCGTGGACCCGCTGCGCCTGGAAGCACAAAGGCACGGTCGATCTCCACCATATTGCTAAGGCTTTACGGCCAGTGCCGCCGACCCAGAAGGACGACGACGACCACGACCACGGCCACGACCACGACCACGACACGACCACAACGGCAACAGCAACGACGTGATGACCTTGCCACAAAGCTCGGGACACGGGGCGGGCGGTGAAGGGAAGAGGAGGAGGAGGAGGAGGGGGAGGGGGAGGGGGAGGGGGAGGAGGAGGGAGAGGGGGAGGGGTAGGGGGAGGGGGAGGAGGAGGTCCACCATATTTTCCAGCCTTCCCCATCGTGAACAAAAAACACCAAGTAAAATTTTACTTGATTTTTCAATTCGTATGTAATTCAATTCTGTAGTCGTTGAGCTATATGAATATTTGTGGCTGCTGTGGTCGGCGTCTCGGGGGCGCGCGCCGACGTCGGCCAGATCTGGCGGCCCAGAGGGGCCCGAAAACCTCGTGCGCCTCGCTCTCGCCTCCCCAGTCCCCGAACGCCGCCAGCCCCGACCATACAGCTCCCGGGCGCGAAAGGTTTGGCCTTTGGTCTTAAGCGAGGGGCTCGCCGTGGCCTCGGCGTCGCTCGGACGTGTGCATTGTGCTTTCCCCGGCGAGGACCGTCGCGGCGCATCCTGGATCGCTCTGCGCGAAGAGCGCACGAGAGCGAAAAGCGCACGGGGGGTGGACGTCCGAGCGACGGCAAAGGGGGGGAAACCAAGGGCTCCCACGAGGGCGCGAAGGTAGTCGCGCTTCGCGCTTCGCGGGCCTCGTTCCTCCTCCCCCTCTCCCCTCGTCCTCCTCTTCTCCCCTTTGGGGGCGGCGCGAGAGCGCGAAGTTGTTCGCGCTTCGCGCAGCGCGAAGTTGGGAGCCCTTGGAAACGGGTCATGAGGTTTTCCGGCCCTCGGTGCCCTCTGTGGGCCCCGGGGCTGCCAGAAAAGTCGGCTCGGGGGGAAGAGGCGTGGTCCTGTTGGGAGGGCCACGGGCCCCGGGCTCGTTTCCCGCGGGACCCGCTTCCCCCATGCTGAGAGGCAGGGCTGGACCTAAACGCTGTTTTGCTGGGCTTCGGCTGTGCTTTGTTTTTCGTTCTGGCGGGGAGGTACAGGCAAACAGGTAGAGCCGAGCGAGAAGCAGAACGAACACAAAACGAACAACAACGTTCAGGTCCAGCTGGACCTGAACGCTGTTTTGCTGGGCTTCGGCTGTGCTTTGTTTCTCGTTCTGGCCAGGAAGTACAGGCAAACGGGTAGAGCCGAGCGAGAAGCAGAACGAAAACGAAACGAACAACAACGTTCAGGTCCAGCCCTGCCAAGAGGCGCCTTCCGCCTCCTTGGACCCCCCCCCTCACCCCCACAGGTCCCGCACGGGGCCTGTGCTTATCGGGACTTGCCCTCCTCCTCGCTGCCAAAGCCCCGCATGGGGCTGGCAGTGGGTTCCAATGGTCCACCCAATATCCACATACACACTTAGTGCTCACACTCCGTCCCTCTCCATTCCTTCGCCCCCTGTCTCTGCATCCTCCCCTGGCCATCGCATCTCTCCGCCTTGTCTCCACGTTGGCCTCGTGCGCTATCCTATCCAGCCCCTGCGAAGATGTTGCATCGCATGCTCCGCGGCGCGACACGGGGACCACTTCCCGATTACCAGGCGGCGGCGTTCCGAGCCGTTCCCCGCCTCCCGCCCCGCGGAGCGGAGCGACGCGCACTCGGTTCGCAGGGCGTAACGTGTCGCCGGGGCCGCCGCTGCGACACGCGAAGCAAAAGTTCCCGACCGCAGGGGCCAAGAGCTCCACCGTGCAGCCTGCAGTGGGCACGTCAAGTAAGAAACGGGCCTGCCAGTAGGCACTCGCTTCCCACGAGGCACTGGAGACCCACAAGAGCCATGGGGAACCTCGGGAAGCTCAGACATCAACGACGAACGTGCCCCTAGATGTCTTATGTTAGCCAGCGTGGGCCCCAAACGGTGATGTCTTGCAAGATTTGCGGTGCAGTTTAGCTGGTGCAATCAGTGTGCCTCAATCTAGGTGGCGCAAAGCAATGCAGCGACACAGCGCAAAGCTTTGCAACGTTTTGCAAAGCTTTGCAAACCAATGCAAAGCGATGCAACACGATGCAAAGCAATGCAAAGCAATGCGATTGCAATACAACGCGGTTGCAGGGCAGCGCAACGAACTGCACTTCAATGCGATACGCATTTCAATGCGATTGCAATGCAACCCGGGGGGGTGCAACGGAGCGGCGGCGACGGGTGGGAGTGGGGCCGCGGAGCCCGCCGACGGGCCTTTGATTGGGAAAGATTGTGCGGCGACAGATGGGAACGGGGCCGCCAGGGCCTCAGACGGGCCCAGCTCCTTCGAAGACAAGCAGGAGACCCTAAGTGCAAGCACTGGCTGGGGACTCTGAAGATTTCTCATCGTATGCGTCTACTGCATAACGCCCAGGCAGGGGGGGGGCGTGCGTCCAGACTAGAAGGCAGCCGCCTGGGCGCCGCAGGGAAGCGGCCTCTCGTCCGGGCACTACGTGGCCGCGGTGCAGAGCCTCCGGGACGGCGTCTGGTACGAGTGCGACGACACGCAGGCCGCCGCCCGCGATGCCTCCGAGCGCCACCGCGGGCCCTCTGCGAGCGTTGGAAGTCGCAGCCCCTTCGGAGCGCATGGACCCCCTAGCTGACGGAGCTCGGCTCAAGCCCCCGAATTCGGGCGGACGGCAGCGGGGGGGCCGTAAGCATGGGGGTGGGGGTGCGAGGATTGCAGGACAATGGCCCTCGATGGGGCCCTAACATGCCCTTTGACTGCCACCGCGGGCCCACAAGGTGCACGAAAGGTGTACACCTTAGGCGATGCTTAACAAAACCCAAGTTTTCGGCCAGAGTCTCGATTATTCTTAACGTTTCAATGTAAATCCTAAGATTTTAATAAAAGTGTTGGGTTTTTATTCAAGTTCTGAGACTATGAATTTCTTAACCCATGATTTCTTAAGCATTTCGCAGGGTGTACGCTTCTTCATCCCGCGTTCACTGCCCCCCCCCTTTCGGTAAAACCGGCGATTATCGAAGGACGCCTTTCTTGCCGAGTCGGGCCAGACCTGTCGACATGCGGCCCTAGTGAAATCGGGCCTTGAGCGCCGCTGGGCCTGAGCCTGGCCACGGCTCCTCCCCCGTTAACGGACACCCGACAAGTGACGGCCCTGGTGCCTCGATCGGCCCCACGGCGCGGCCTGGCCCAGAAGCCAGCACAGAGGCCGCCGCCACCCGGGGCCTCGGAGGGGGGTCGGATGCTTGCAGCAGGTGGCGGGGTGCAGAGGCCGTCGGAGCCCTCTTTCCGAGGGGCCAAGCGCTGGTGCGACTGCACGAAGGCGTCACCCCCGCCTGGCCCCCAAGAAGGAGCCGGGGGGAGATGGCCTGCCCCGTCCCGTTTGCCTGTGCGGCTTGCTTTGGGGCCCAGGTGGTCTCGGGAGGAGGTCGTGTCGGACGGGGCCGCAGGACCAGGATCGATCGTTCCAGAGCGTTCCGGGACGCTCTCGGAGCCCAGCGCCCAGATTTCCTCCGAGGGGGCCGTGGGAGAGGCCGCAGCCGCAGGCTGCCAGACGGTGACCCTGGCCCCCGAGGTGCCAATCCCCCCGAGCCTTCCGCGCCCTTCTGGAGCCCCCTCCTCCTCCTCCTCCTCCTCCTCCTCCTCCTCCTCCTTCTCCTCCTCCTCCTCCTCCTCCTCCTCCTCCTCCTCCTCCTCCTCCTCCTCCTCCTCCTCCTCCTCCTCCTCCTCTGGCGCACCTCTGGGCCCCATGGCCGAGGACCGCCCCCCCCTGCGAGGGCCCGCGGGGTGCCTCCCTGGAGAGGCTGGGGCCGCCTCGGCGCCCGGCCTCGGAGCTCTTCGGGAGCTCTGTGGAGGCTTCCCGGATGAGGCCGCAGACTGCTGCTGCTGCTGCTGCTGCTGCTGCTGCTGCTGCTGCTGCTGCTGCTGCTGCTGCTGCTGCTGCTGCTGCTGCTGCTGCTGGTTTTGCCCCCCCCACCCCCCTTGCCCCGCCCCCGCTGCTCCGGCCGTGTTCTCCTCCTGCGGCTGCTGCTCTTTGTCGTGCTGCTGCTCTTTGTCTCCCACTCCTCCCTCCCCTCTCCTCACCTCCTCCTAATCGTAGCCTCCTCCCTCCTCCTCCCCCCTTCTCCCCTCCTCCTCCTCGCTCCCCTCTTCCCTCCTCCCTCCTCCCTCCAACTCCCTCCTCATCGTCCCTCCCATCTTCTCTCCTTCCCTGCCTCCAGCCTCCTCCCTCCTCCCTCCTCCCCTCCTCCTCCCACCTCCTCCTCCTCCTCCTCCCTCCTCCTTCTCCTCCTCCTCCTCCTCCTCCTCCTCCTCCTCCTCCTCTTCCTCCTCTGAGCCCGGAGCGATCGTGCTCTTCCGTTGCATTCGGCAGCGCGAGGATGTCTCACTGTGGGCGTATGTGCTTATAAACGGCTGGACGCCGTCGGGGATGCATATTCACCTTGTGGATGGACTTTAACGCGTTGCTTCAAGTGCTTCGCCTTGGCCAGCCCCGCGGTACAAATTTCAGTATTTCGCTTTGCCTTTTTGCAGGCTGTTTCAATGGAGGTGCAGTTTGTCGGTGCACAAAAAAGTGTGAAACTACTGTCGCCACGTGGGCTCTTGGGAGGTCGCGCGGGGTGGAGTTGTACGGGGGCCCAGTTGAGACCTCGCGGCTCCGTTGGAGGTTGCGAAGTGTGGAACTGTCCCCACTTTCGTGGGCTCCTTGGAGGTCCAGCGGAGTGGTGTTCCACGGGGATCCCGTTGGGACCTCACGGCTCCCTGCGGGGTGCTGCGCAGTGCGAAATTATCGCCACGTTTGTGGGCTCTTGCGAGGCAGGGCGGAGTGGGGTGTCACACCTCGCCGAGACCTCGCCGCTCCCTGGGGTGCTGGCAACTGCGCAAATGTCGCCATTCTCTTGGGCTTCAGGGAGCCCATTAGAGTAGGGTGCCACGCACACCTCACCGAGACCTCGCGGCTCCCTGGGGCCCTGGGTATCACAGCCGACACTTCCGTGTGCTCTTGGCAGGTCCAGCAAAGTGGAGGTGTACCCAGCCACCCGTTACTCCCGCATTCCCGCTGCGGCGCCCTTCTGATATCATTGCTGGGTGCTCATGCGCATTGCGGGTCCTTCAATATGTTCTTTTGTAGTGAGAGGTCCTGGGTATACGTAGTCGCCGTATGTTTGGACAGGGTGTGGTACGTCACCGGGTGATGTTGCTTAACCTTAGATTGCAACCATCAATGTGGTTATGTTTGTTTTCATTGGTTGATTGTTTGTGGTTCTGCGTGGTGCGTGCGAAATTGCAGAGCAGGCGCAGGCCATTCCTTGCTAGATGTTTTGTTCTATTTGTTTTTCGAGCACGTCTAAAGTCAAAGGGGGTTACAGTTGATATGCACGTTCGCAGTGCTACATATACAGGCGTCCTTGAGTGTTGCCATTGTTGTTCGGCGACAGAGCCCAGGCAGAGAGAGGGAAAATGGGAGAGGCAGAGACACAGACACTGAAACTGACAGCAAGAGTGACAGAGCAGCACTGCAGAGCACGTCCTGTGCAGGCCGATGAGTTTCGCTGCCTGTGCGCCCTACAGCAGGCTCCGGGGAAGAGAGAGATACCGAGAAATGGGGCCGACATCAGCTCCTGGAGGCAGCGTTGTCTGGCGTCCGGGCTCGGGCTCCGCACGGGGTGCGTGCCCGTAGCCAGACCCCCGACGTCATGATTTTTTCATGACGTCGACCCCCCGAGGTCTCGACCCATTCCCCGGGACCGGTTGTTCGTCCTGAGTCGTTTTTTGACGCTCCCGAGGCCCGGTGAGGGCCCCCGGAGGCCGAACATGGCGAAAAACCTCCCATCGTGATTTTTTCATTACTCGAGGGGGTCTGGGTCTGGCGCCCGGGCTCGGGCTCCGCACGGGGTGCGTGCCCGTGGCCCGCGCGTCGCGCTCCGTGCCTGCCTGCCTTGGGCGGGGCCCGGAGGCCGGGAGGAGCGGAGCGCGCGCGGGGGGGGTCGGGCCGCGGGGCTGCGTCGCGAGCGCGCGCGCGCCTGAGAGGCACGGCCTGGGGGCGAGCGGCGTGGCAGACCGGGGAGACGAGAGAAAGAGAGAGAGAGAGAGAGAAAGAGAGAGAGAGAGAGAGAGCGCGAGAGAGAGAGAGAGAGCGAGCGAGAGAGCGAGAGAACGATAGAGAGAGAGAGAGACAGAGAGACACCCCATGGAAGAAGAGCGAGCCTCGGGGCCGCAGCGAGTGAGCGCGCACCACCACAATCTGGCCGCGAGCCGGCAGGGCAGAGGCACAGACAGAAGCAGACAGACGGACAGGCAGGGGTAGTCGGCGTGGCATCCCCACTGTCGGGAGACTCTCCATGGGGGGGGGGTCCCATGGGGGGGCAGGAGGGGCTCCCCCCCATGGGATCCCCTCCTGCCTCCCCATGGGATCCCCAGAAGATCCTATGGGATCCCCCCCCTGGGATCCTATCCCCCCATGGGATCCCCCCCCATGAAGAGGCTCCCGACACTGGGGTTTCCTGAGCCACGCCGGGGGAACCCGCCGCAGCCCGAAAATGTGGGATCGCGCGGGCTGTCTGCTGGCGGAATCTTGGTCCGCAGCCTCCTTGGCACATTCCTTAACGAACGCCCCCACCGCATTGAGTTCTCCTTTCGGTCTCGCGGTTCAAAGTCCACCATCTACACTCGACCCTTCCTCGACCTCGTCGACCTGGCGTTCCATATTGGGCAAGGAAGGCGGCTCCTCTTCCAAAACGGGGCTCTCGCGTAAGACTTCCGCGAAGCAAACGTCCACGACTTTGACTTCCTGCAACGCTCAGACGGATGGAGGCCATGTTCCTGTCCAAATGAGATTATCCCTGGGCCTCCTTGAAGGTCTTTCGCGTGGGACTTCATCGGAGCAGATGTTCACGATTTGATATCCTGCAGCGCTTGCACGGATGGAGGGCATGTTCAAAATGGGGCCACCCTGGCCGTCCTACATGTGGAGGGGGAGGATATTTTACAGCAGGCGCCCTCGTCTGACTAGCGGACCGACCAGCCGCTCGTCATTCAAGGGGTGGCGCCTGCAGTGGAAAGAAAGACTCGTATGGACTCAACGAGGAGGGACTTGGGACGGGAGGGTGTGTTGCAGCATCGGTTAACGCATGCTGGTTTACTCTGGTCCCCCTCCTTCACCTCCTATTCCTCCTGCTTCAAGACATACAACCACTTCCGCGGACAGATGATCGACAAGGGGTGACTCGCCCGACCCCACGGACTCCTAACGCAAGAGCGTCAGCAGGCGCCAGGCCGCAGCAGTGCTAGACATCGAACGTGGCCAACTCATGTGATGGTCGCCCCTGCTCCTCCTCCTCCTCCTCCTCCTCCTCCTCCTCCTCCTCCTCCTCCTCGTCCTCCTCCTCCACCTCCTTCCTCCTCCTCCCCCTCCTCCTCCTCCCCTCCTCCTCACCCCTCCTCCCCTCCTTCCTCCTCCTCCTCCTCCTGCCCTCCTCCTCCTCCTCCTCCTCCTCCTCCTCCTCGTCCTCCTCGTCCTCCTCCTCCTCCTCCTCCTCCTCCTCCTCCTCCTCCTCCTCCTCCTCGTCCTCCTCCTCCTCCTCCTCCTCCTGGGGCCGAGGGCGGTCCAAACGCACTTTAAGACGGGCTCATGCCTCCAACTCTGTGCGACGGCCCCCCGGGGACGGCTGTTGCACACGGCAGGCGACAGCCAACCTTCGGGGGTAAAGGACGCGCCAGCCCGGGCCTACACCTGGCACCCAGGAGCTCGGCAGCGCACGGACAACGCCGCTGGCCTCCTTGTGCCTGCCGCCGACGGTTGCAGCCCGCCGCCACCGCCGCGCCCGCGCCTTCAGCTGGCCAGCAGCGCCGCGCCACCGCCAGCTTCGCCCCGCCGTCTGGCCGCCGACAACGGACGCCCCGGCCGGCGCCGCCCAGCGCCGTCGCGGCCCCACGCGTTTCGCGCCGCCGCCCGCGTTTAGCGCCTGCCCGAGCGCGCTCGGCGCAGCCCAGCAGCGCGCCAGAGGGCTGCTGCGCCAGCTCGCGCGCAGAAGAGCGCAGCTCAGCACCCAGTAGGCCCGCGCCGACTCGTCGGGCTGTCCTCCGGGAGCTCCTGGACGTAGCTTAGGAGCTAGGCCCGCGCCTCGCCGCCGAAGCGGCCCCCAGTCTCAACGGCTTACGCCATCCGGCGCTCGCCGGGGTAGCGCGCGTGCTTGGCGCGGTCGGCCAAGAGCGCCGCCTCGCCAGGGCGTCTTGCCGCCGCGCGCATGGCGGGCTCGCCGCCAGCCGCTGGATGGCGGACGGTCACGTCCAATGGCCGTTTGCCATCGGTGTCGTCTTATTCGACATCTTGAATGGCCCGTCCCAGGGCCGTCGCCTGTCCTGAACGGCGTAGAAGCCCGCCAGATCCAGCGGCGCCTGACATGGCACTCCGCCTGCTGTCAGGTTCTGGCAGATCGCCGCAGCTCTCGCGAGCTCGTCAGCAGGACACACGGGCCGCGACAGGTGGACACGGCTCTGCGTCGAGGTTTGCTAATGAGGGTTCCAGCGTGCATGCCTCCCTGCCTCCCTGCCTCCTCCTCCTCCTCCTCCTCCTCCTCCTCCTCCTCCTCCTCCTCCTCCTCCCCTTTCTCCTTTACGTCATCGTCACTTTCCTGTCGTCATGCTCGCCTCTTCGGCTAAGCGGGGGCCCGTGAGCAGACCAACCTGCCAGGTGAGCCCGCTAAGGCTGCAGGCGCTGTACAGCGGGCGCCCCATCGCGCAGGCGAGCTGGGGGGCTCTCCTGTCTTGGCGTCGGCTGCACTTCTCGAAGGAAGTGAACGAGGAAGAACATGAGGAGGAGGAGGAGGAGGAGGAGGAGGAGGAGGAGGAGGACGAGGCGGAAGAGACGTGTGTCCAAGGGCTTATGATGCGGCGCGCTCTGGAAAGGACCCCGCCTTCGGCGCACCCTCGCTCTCGGCGGGAAGCGAAACAGTGGGTCCGCCAGTGGTAGGGGGCGGAAGTAAGTGTAAATTTCAGCGACACTGAAACGTCAGCATTTAACGGTCAGTGTTTCTGGACCAGTGTTCAGAGGTTTCTGGTGGCTTCTGTATGTTTCCACAGCTGGACGGAAACTGAGGTAACGTTCATTCGTCGCTACCCTTTGATGTGCACGCTTACTTTTAGATTGCAGCAATCATTGATGTCTCTTTGCAGCGCGGATCGTGGCCAGGTCACTTCGCGATCCATCGCTCATTTCAGCTCAAGGGTTTTTCCCGGAATTGGCGTGGGCCCGGGGTTCTCTTTTAGGGGTTTGCCCCCGGATCTGACGGCTGTCTTTTTGCGACAAATAACGAGGTCGTGTAGGGCCGGCGAATTAAAATTTGAGGATATCTCGAGCGAAACACTGGTTGTTCATAATTTGTTGAGGATGTCTCGAGCGAAACGCTTGTTTTGTGTTATAGATGGTCTTCTCCTGGGGACCTGAATTCAGAGGATCTCTCAAGTGAAATGCTTGTTTTCACGTGCCCAGGTCTTGAGCATGTCTCGAGCGAGACGCTTGGTTTCACGCCTCCAGGTTGCCCAGACAGATGTCTAGCATGAGGATTTGTTGAGGATGTCTCGAACCAGAGGCTTGTTTTCACGTGTCCAGGTCGCCCAGGCGGATGTCTAGCATGAGGATGTGTCGAGGAAGTCTCGATCGAGACGCTTGTTTGCACGTGTCCAGGTTGCCCAGGCGGATGTCTAGCATGAGGATGTGCTGAGAACGTCTTGAGCGAAACGCGTGTTTTCACGTGTCCAGGTCGCCCAGGCACAGCACAGCCCTCGGCACGGTACATCAATATCGATACCCTTAGCATTGCAGCCTGGCATGTTGCTTGGCACGTTCTGCGGAGCGTCCCGTGGCGAGTCCCCCTGGCACGTCGCGCGGTGCACGTCCATTGGCACGTTCCGTAGCGCGTCCCCTTGGCACGTCCCGCGGTGCGTGCCCATGGCACGTCCCCTGGCACGTCGCCTGGCGCGTCCCTTGGGACGTTCCGCGGCCCATCCTCCTGGCATGTCCCCCTGTCGATTACTTCTGGGGCAGCTACCATCTGCTCAGGCAGCTCGAGCTCAAGATCCAGATCAGTTCGGTCAGGACTCGGATGCCAGGGAGGACTCGATCCACAACGCTATGCACGTCCCGCGGCACGTCCATTGGCACGTTCCGTAGCGCGTCACCATGGCACGTCCCGCGGTGCGTCCCCATGGCGCGTCCCCTGGCACGTCGCCTGGCGCGTCCCTTGCGACGTTCCGTGGCGCGTCCTCCTGGCACGTCCCCTTTGTCGATTAGTTTTGGGGCAGCTACCATCTGCTCAGGCAGCTCAAGCTTAAGATCCAGATCAGTTCGGTCAGGACTCGGATGCCAGGGAGGACTCGATCCACAACGCTGTATAGAGCACAATCACGGCATGATACATCGCAGTTCAGCACGGCGTAGCGCAGCACAGCCCTCGGCACAGTACATCAAGATCGATACATTCAGTATTGCATTTGCCCGTCGCTCAATCAGGTGTCTTTGAAACGTTGCCATGCTTTACATGTCTATATTCGTTTCCGGGTTCGTGGGTCGATCATGTTCTGCTGAGAAATGTCAGCAGCACATGCTTGAGTGGGCTCTCTCGTGGAGTTCGGCAGCCCACTTCGCATACATTGTTTATCACTACGTCTGAGGGGGCAGGCGGGGGCCAGCGAAGCTGACGAGGACAACTCCAGTCTCTGTCAGCTGGGCGTGCAGCAACGCCGCGAAGCCGCCTATATGAGAGGTACTGTTGTCAACCACACGCTGCACGAGGGCCCAGACGGGCCAAAGATAGATAGATATATACATAGATAGATAGGTATACATATATATATATATATATATATATATCATCGGGAGGCCGATTGAGATATGTATAACGTCAACCAAATCGCAACACATCAAAAACTCGAGTTGTGATCGGCATCAGAAGATTCTCATTCCCACGTGACGTGAGAGCAGGGCTGGGCAAAAAGTTTCAAACGGGAGGGAAGCTTGAGCGGACACGAAAGACAGGCAGGGCAGGAGGAGGAAGGACAACCTGCACTACTATCTTACACGGCCCACCCCGACCCAACCACCCCGAGACGCGATCAATCAATTATGGAAAACGATCATGATCGCTACGTCTCAGGGGGCAGGCGGGGGCCCAGCGAAGCTGACGAGGACAACTCCAGTCTCTGTCAGCCGGGCGTGCAGCAACGCCGCGAAGCGGCCTATATGAGAGGCATTGTTTTCAACCACGCGCTGCACGAGGGCCCAGAAGGGCCGAAGATTATATATATATATATATATATATATCGGCCGATTGAGATACGTATAACCTCAATCCAATCACAACACATCAAAAACTCGAGTTGCGATCGGCATCAGAAGATTCTCATTCCCACTCCCGCATATGATGTGCCTGGCGTAGCCGCAATACTCCATGTTGTAGTCCAGGGCGGGTGGATGGGGACCACAACATCATCTGTATCCAATGCGATCGGCCAAGATCTCCTCGGGGCGGTGGTCGCGCCCGTGGGCCACTCACTTCTAGGGAGCCCTCGTATGGCGCCCCTAGCCGCCCGCAAGGGCGCCCCCACTTGGCACGTCGCCTCACTCTGTCCACCATCCGGTCGTCTCTCCCCACGTCTCATCGGAGTAGAGGTCGTCGGACTCTGGACAGCTCATCTCGCCCTTGGTGGGCTTCTGCTTGGTGGTGGTCTTCTGCCTCGGCCTCGGTGGACCTAGCATCAGGAGCTCCGCAGCGACATCCTTCACCTTCTTCATCTTCAAGTTTTCCTTGATGCCGTCGACCAGCTGCCTCTGCTGCTCGCTGTAGATGGTGCGGGACCCCACCACACGGATGATCTCGGCGGCCAGGTCTGAGGTCGCGCGGGCGCCCACCTCCAACACTTTCTTCGGCATCCTCGCACGGAACTACGTGAGGGCGAACGTCTTGGAGTACCTTTGGACGCTGGAGAGGGCCTTCCACCTGCCTCGCCTCCGCACCTGCTCGACGCTAGCCCGGCCGCGGGCTACGTCCTCGCTGGGCCCCGAGTGGCGGAGCCCGTGCGGAGGCGGCGCCCAGGGCATCCCCAGCGCGCGACATGCGCGATGCCACTCCTTGCGGAAGCCTGCCTGCTTCGGGCAAACGATGGGCCCCGTAGAGTTCCTCTTGACGTCCTTCAGGGCCATAATGAGGTTCGCGACCGCCCCGCGGC